TGGTGCAAATTACTGACCTCTGTCATCATTTTAAGTGGGGGAACTTGCACAATCGGTGGCTGACTAAATACTTTTTTGCCCCACTGTAAGGCCAGAAAAGTGAACTGAATGTCCTGTTTTATCAGTACAACTCCGAGCATCCCTATAAATGTCTTAATATGTCTATTAGAATATATTAACCAGAATGAACAAGCTGTTGAATGTTTCTTATAAGCCACAGAGAGCATAGTATTTCAGTGCATTAACAAACATCTCATCCCTGAGGCCGTAAATTAGACGACTCACACATCTTGGAGCAAGAGTAAAAGTTATGTAATTAAAGTACTTCACATTGGCAAATAACATAAAATCAATCTGGAGGATGGCTGCCTCTATAAATGGATACCATAGCTGGATAAGACACAGCAGCAGCTGGAAACCATGAAGAACCACTTGTACTGAACCCTTTCCATGTTGACCTCTTCACGGATTCAACCAACTAGATGGGCTAAAGGAACAAGTGCAAGGTTTGAGCTAATACCTGAAAAGTGTGGTCACCCTCAGATTTAACATAATTTAACAGTTAACAGATCCTGAGCTGATGACTGCACAGGCCTGCTGCGGATCTGAGCAGGTCTGCTATGTACACAAGAGCCTGCCCATGTAAAGCTTCATATGTCATTAATAAAATATTAAAATATTTTTCTGACTTTGATGGAACCCTAGTAATAGGAAGTAAGAATAATGCCTGGCTGCTTCCCTTTGGACCAGTTGTAGATAGGCTAAAGAGGACAGAGAAAGGCATGTGAAAAATGAGATACAATAATCAACACTGAAGAAATTAATTGATTCATTTTTAATAAACAGGACTGGTGGAACTGGATGAAAGCTAAATGCTGGTTCTTAGTTGAACCTGCCACAGTAATGACTGACCTCCTGACAGAAGCTGACAGTGTCAATCACAAGACGTTCAGCTTTGCCAGGATTGCGATTGAGAGAATTTGAAGACATCCAATATAAGCAACATTTCAATATTGCCTGTTAGTCAGAAATGTAAAGTCACTTTAAGTGAATTAGACTAAGGCTACACGGAGTTAAATAAAGCAATGGACAGTGGACATGTATGGCAATAATTTATTTTCAGTACATTTTTTACTGTAACAATTAAATGTCTTTTGTTTGAAGCAGTTACAATTATGAGTACAATAAGTTTTACAATAAGTAAATAATTAAAATTTATTTTTTACAACAACTTAACTGCTCCTAATCCACACTGTTGCCAAACTAAAAACAATTTAAGCATAAAAAGGGTCAGATACTATACATCAGTTTAAGTATAAGACCAGCAGAGTGAATGGAATAGGTACCACTTTCAAACACTGGAAATCTATGAGTATTTCTATTGGAATACATTAGAACATAATAAATCAAAAAGCTGTTGAATGTTTCTTATATAAGCCACAGAGAGCGTAGTATTTCAGTGCATTAACAAACATCTCATCCCTGAGGCCGTAAATTAGAGGACTCAAACATCTTGGAGCAAGAATAAAGGTTATGTAATTAAAGTACCTCACATTGATGAATAACATAAAATCAATCTGCAGGACAGCAGCCTCTATAAATGGACACCAGAGCTGAAAAAGACACAGCAGCAGCTGGAAACCATGAAGAACCACTGTACTCAGCCCCTTCCATGTCGACTTCTTATTCTCTCCTGATGCAGCTTTGGCCACTTTCATTATTTGCACATATGAGAAAACAATAGTGATGGACATAATCAAGAAATAAAGCTGACTTATAGCTGACCTAAGATGACCCTGCCATCTGTGAAAAATGAACATTTCAACAGCACAAATTCTGCTCTGGGTATAGAAGCTGGTGATTGCTGAAGCAAAGAAAATAGAAAGAATAACAATGCAGGGAACAGAGCTCAGACCATGAATGATCAGGATGAAGTGCAGAGCTCTCTGTGTTCGGCACAGTTCTGCATGACGGAGGGGAACGCAAATGGCCACAAAACGCTCCAGGGTCATTGCTGTCAGAGTAACTGGTGTGACAAATGTGTACACAGACAAAACAATATATATAATAACACACAACCACACTTGTATGGTGAAACTAAAATAATTCAAAATGAGCAAGGCATTGGTCATTAACAAAAAAAGCGAATCAGACAACAGTGCAATCGCAAATAAGATGTAACGCATAGTTGTGTAAAAAATATCCTTCATAAAAAATGTTGTGATTAGCAAAAAGTTGATGCAAAGAAACACAGAGATTAATACCTGGACTATTATGACCCGATTATTGATGTTGTTTATTGCCAGCTTACCACCAATTACTGAGTTATTTGTTGCCATGAATTTCTAACTTTTAGGCAAATATTCTTTTGTTTTATATCTTCAAAATGTGAAGAGGCCCAAAATTCTAAGAACTTATCTACATATATTATTATATATCTGGTTAAAGATTCTAAAACCAAATTCCCCACACACACTATCTAAACCAAAGTTTAAATGATGTCAACCTAAACAGCCTCACAGCTACAAGTGTATCTATTGAGTTAAGTATTCACGGTGCTTGTTGATAATATAATGACATATATCTATAAAACCTAAAGATAACAACAAGTTACAAGACATCAGAGAGTCATTTTACCAAACCATCCCTGCGGTAAGTAAAACACATCTGAGGTGTGTGCTGTCACAAGCTGATTTTTATAGCTGAAACTGTAACACAAGAGGGAATGTCACCAAAGGAAGATGTCACCAAAGGAAAAGCATTTGGGAAACATTTTGTACAACAGATCGATTCAAGTACTAAAATATAAAACTACTGCACATATCAGGTGTCCAGGTTTGACCATCAACTCTTATCTGTCAACACAAATTATTATTATTGTTTGGCAACACAACACCCCACACATAAAATTGAAGAGAACAATGCTACCTGAATGTGCAAAGTTTTCTTTTGTGTGTCCTGTGTGAATCCATTCTTCGAATTAGTCAAAAATAATTTACTTCTTAAATTGTTCAGCACCTGACTGCAGCAGCTTTTAATTAAATTTAGTCCAAATAATTTCCTCAATGAATAGTTAATTCTCTGATTTACTTAACACTAACCTATCAGTCACAAAAGTAACTAATGGAGCGTAAGATTGATAACATTGTGGAGAAGCTCACGGCTCTCCAACAGGAGATCAAGAGACCAGTGTCAGACTGCTAGAACAGCTTTGAAATTCATATGAGTTGTTTGCACTAAAGTAAAAACCACCATCATTTCATGCGGCTACCACTTTGGCGTCAGCTGTGGTCTCAAGGCTGGAGCTGAACAAAAACATCCTGATAACAGACTGTGCATAGACTGTTCTTCCTATCCTACACAAGGCCACCGGGATTGGCTGGAAGACTGTTTACTTAGTCTGGCAGGGTGAAGGACACTGTCTCAGCTAAACTCTGGACACACATACACACACATATAGATACATATGCAGATCTCCTTCCCTGGATCCAACGCCTCCTGCCATGTTTACCTCCCCGCCAATGGAGACAGCGGCTCAGCTGGAAGCGCAAAATTGCAGCGTCTGCGAGCACTGTGTGCATTGGCGTCATAGAGGTCCCTTTGCTACGGTTCGGAGCCGCGGACCTGTTTTATATATGCGTGGAATAGTTTTCTATACGAGATCGCTGCAAAAAGTGCAGCCTTACCTAATCTCCACCCTACTGTTACTCATTTTATATTAAGATTCAAACATCTAGTTGGTATTGGTATGGCGAGTAGCCTTCAGTAATAGTAATAAATCACACAGCAACAGTACATTCATGTAGTGTCATGGTCTGGTTGGGCACCTGCAGGTCTCAGACAGCGGCTCCTCCTCCTTTAGGCGGAGTCCGGCTGCCCCTCCCTGGCTGACCACCTGTGAGCAATCGTGCCAGCGGTATATCAGACCTGCGCTCTCAACCATTCATCGCCTGAGTATCTGCTATCCCCATGTTAGTTCAGTGGAGCATCATAAACCTTGTCCTGACGCCGTGTGATGACTCACCTGTTTTTTCTTGTCCTCAGAGATAGCACCCGGAGTGGAGATCTCGTTCCCCTCGCTCCCGTCCTCCTGGACCTGGGCCGCCTGCTGCTTACACAACGTGGCCTGCCGGCCCACCGCTCACCTGCCTGCCTCCCCACGCCTCGACCGCTTCCGGGCTTTCCGCTCCACCTGTCCCCTCCATCTGAAACCAAGTAAGGCAATTCAATTCAACTGTGGAGGATTGTTGGTTGTCTGCTGGATCCCTCTGATCGTGATCTCCTCTTATTCCAGTGCCCCCGGTCCCTACCTAGTCCTGTTTCTACCTCCCCGCTGCCCCCGCTGTTCAGCCGTCTCCTAGAGGTGTCTAGGTCGCCCTCATTATTCACCGACGAATCCTACGCGCCACTAGTGTGGTGGCGTCGCTTTGTTTTTTACCTTTGTTTACCTGTGGGCGGAAATAAATCATTTGTTCTCTGTCACCTCGCTTCCGGGTTGGTTTCTGCACCTGTGTCCATCCCTGTTCCCTCATGCCGCTGGGCCGTGACATGTAGTTGTAAAAAGCATGATAATATATTAAGTGATCCAAAGTATTCAGAATACATTACTCTCATTAGGTAACGTATTGGAATACGTTACAAAATACATTATGGGGCATTATTCTGTAATCTGTAGTGGTATACATTTTAAAATTAACCTTCCCAACACTGGTTATGATGCACTGAGCGTCACTTTGCATTTAATTGTTTTAGTTTTTGGTGCAGTGGTTAGCACTTTTGCCTCACAGCAAGAAGGTACTGTGTATTTCTATGTGGATTTTGTGTGTTCTCCCAGTGTTTGTGTGGGTTCATACTCTGGCAACTTGTCCAAGGTGTACCCAGCCTCTGTTCCCCACTGGGTCCTTATGAGGGTTGCAGGGGGCTGATAAGGATAAGTGGAATGGGTCTGGGTGCAGTTCCCCCCTCCAGGGGCAAGGGTACCTAGACCCGGTTCGTAGAGTACGCTTGGGGAGTGTGATCGTGTGTACAGCGTCTCTTTATGTCTGTCTCCACGTTGGTTGAGTGTGGAGTAAGTGCATATGAGAGCATGAGGGTGGGAATGGATGTTTGTATATGTGTGTGCCTGTATGTCTGTGTCTATATGTCAGGTTGGGTGTCAGGCGCCACCTCTCTGGGGACATCTCAGGCCCTCCAAGGTTTGGAGGCCTATCTCCACCCACCACCACTTCCCCTGCCAGTGGCGGACTCCCTCAGACATCGGTGCGTTGGTGGTTCTTTGTGTCCGGGGATGGGCGTCCTCCTTGGCGGCCGCTTATCGGGGCCTGGAGCCTGGGGCTCGCTCGGGCCACTTCGGAGGTGGGGTGCCCCCGGCCTCTCGGCCTGGGGCTCGGTCACTCAGGCACGGCTGGCTGCCGGCGGAGCTCACGGGCGCGTCACTGCAACTCCCCCTGGCTTCTGCTCCGCGGCTGCTGAGTGAGCCCTCATCTGGGACTCTCCTCAGCTCTTTCTGGGACAGTGGCGCGGCTGCCCCTCTGTTGGTCTTCCTTGGTCTCTTGTGTTCTGGGGGCCTCTGGATGTCTGGAGTTTTGATCTCCTCCATACCTGCTTCATGCCCTGGAGGACGGGGCTGTGGCCCCCCCACACCCTCTAGCAGATCATTACATGAAGGAACCTTTTAAAAAAAAAAACAAGCGCGTCCATGCTCACAGGTGTACACACGGGTGATCACACCCACAAACTACACCCTTTTTGGCTCCTACCTCAAAGCACACTGTGTTCTGTTGATCTTATGTGCTGCACAATAATGTTTAATATTTAGTATTTACTGTCATATTCCCATATATCATTGTGATGTTGTTTATTCTATTACTCTTGTTCTCTTCTGCTTGTTTTCTTTTTTCTTTCTCAGCAGGTGATCCAGGTGATTGATATATGCATTTTTTTTTCTGCCCATTCTGTTGGTTTTTGTTTTTGCCCTTCTCCCCCGTCCCTCTTCTCAGCTGTTTCTCTTTCCCTCTTTCTTTCTCCCCTTCTTTCCCCCAGTCAAGTCTGTCCCGTATTCAGTAAGTGAAAATAAAATAAACAATAAAAGGTGAATCAAATGGACCATTACGGCAAGCTGGGATGGTCAATTTGGTAAAGTAAATCCGTTGGGCATCTTTCTTTGCCTTTAGACAACAATTCTGATGGCAAAAGAGCCAAACGGGACAGGCAAAAAAAAAAAAAAAAGGATAAGTGGAATGGATGAACTGAATTACAATCAGTCAATTTCAGTTAGTGGCACAGTCTGAGGAATGAATAAATGGTAAAGTGCAAGCTGCATCCAGGACAGAGACAGTTGCATTATGATGCTAGAACCCAAAGTGACTTTAGTTTTGTGAATGTCGACCCCAGCCCAGCAGACAGACCCTGAACTTCAACATATAACAAACTGATGAGTAGCCAGGCTGCAGCCTATATTTCTACCTTTTCATGTTTCTGAAGTAGACTCACCGCGACGATCACTTTAAATTCTTTGTGCTGGTTTTTATCTTTTCTTTGTGCTGTCGGCTTTGTGTTCATACCTAAATATTAAGAAAAATATCATGTTTGTCCTCATTAGGATGGTGTTGGTGTGTGGGAGTAAATAAATAAATAAAACATTTTTTATTTATATAGCACCTTTCTAGACAGAGTCACGAAGTGCTCCACATAGGACAACAAGTCATAAAACATAAAACATACAGCATAGCACATAAAACAAGGCAAAATCTAACCAAAAGCAATTTTAAAAAGGTGAGTTCTGAGTTGTTTTTTCAAAGCGACTACTGAGTCCACTGTTCTTAAGCTTAGAGGGAGAGAGTTCCAGTCTAGGGGCCACAGTGGCAAAAGCTCGATCACCCTTAATTCTCGTCTTCGTGTGTTGTATAGCAAATAAGCCCTGATCAGATGATCTTAGGGACCTGCTAGGGACATAGGGCTGCAGAAGATCCAAAATATAAGCTGGTGCCAGTCGGTGCAAGGCTCTAAAAGTCAAAACCAGGACCTTAAAATGGACTCTGAATTCAATAGGAAGCCAGTGTAACTGAGATAGTAACAGTGTCACATGTGAATACTTAGGGTGTAACCGGCTGGAATATATTTTTAAATGGTAATCATGAAGCAAGTGATTTTAGGTGATTTTAGGGAGAAACACAAAAGTAATATAATGTAATGGATTACTTTTAAGAAAAGGGTTCTGTGTAATATTTTTAACACTGATCACAACAAAGTGGGGAAATACCTCCAACAAGCACAAACATTTGACCACACACATGCAGTTAATTTGCGCGAATGTAATGTCTTTCATATACTGCTTAGC